TTTATAGGACAGTTTTCATTTGCATAGGCTCAGACTTCTTCTTTTTTGCTTTTATTCATAGATTCACATTTTCTTTTCGTTTTTCATTTTTTCCCTGGGCTCACATTTGCTTTGATTTACCTACCATTGTTGTGCTGTGTTGTCCCTTTCTCTACAGTTCCCGTCTCCGAACTTCTGACTTGCATCCTCGTTTTCCTTCACTGCCCTATCTCCAGTTCCTGCCTCCACCGCCCACAGCTGCACTCTTCAACCAACTGTATCCCAGCCCCTCCTCCACCTAAAGTTTCCGCTGCCAAACCAACACCACATCTTCCTTCCCCACTTACCACCCAAGATCCAGGTCACCCAAACCAAAAACGAGTGCATCTTGTGTGGTCCAGCTCATCTAAGTAATTGTCAGTCCCACCTTCCGCCCCTCTGGCTGCCTTGAGCCTTTTGCATCTCGAACCTGCAACATGCCGCTCCTCTCTCCCATATATTACCCCAAAATTTACGCACCTGTTGCTTGGAGGAACACTTTTCGCTGTGGCACCTAGTTTACGCACTTGCTTGTGACTGGCCCGAGCTGCCGCGGACGAAACTCGCACCTCACGGCCCTTCGCCACCAGTCACTGGCTAACAGCATGCCACCCAGCGCTCGAGGGTGACGCTTCCCATCATCATCAGCAGCAGCACTTTTTGCGAGTCGTGCATCAGAGTTCTAGTAATTGCTGGGGGATGAAGTGCTGCGTGGTTCTGAATCTTCGGATATGTTTACGTTTCCGCGGTTGTTTATTTCTTCGAAATGCGCGTTGCTTGTGAGCTCCGTCTTTTCCTGATTTTTTAAGGTGTGCATGGAAACTGACTTGAGCGATGGCCAGATGTTTTGGCAGGCGAATGATGGGTGCGGCGATGTCCCGGACAACGGATTGAAGCCGAAGCGGAAGCGAAGGCGGCCTCGTACCAAAGCGTTGCGCAGTGCAATCAGGGAAAAGGTAGTTCTTTGGTAAGGTGCTGACAAAGAATGCACTGTTTGTCCTCGTTCACCTGAGCCATGCGCCTTTTCCTCCCCTCCCCGGTGGCCTGCTTCTTCTGGCCAGTCGTATCGGAACAGAGCGTTCTTGGCGAGGCGTGATGGTCTGTTCGGGACAGGCAGCGCGCGTTTTCGGCCCTTTCACAAGACAGACTGATGCCGTGTTGTCTGTCCTTCATCGCTGCTCATCATATTTGCAGATTGAGAAGGCGCTGTTTACGGATGATTCGCCGATTCATGCTGTTATGGAGAAGGATGCGGGTTGCCGGATGAGTGCGCTGCTGACGACAGTGCTCAATACATTGAAAGTTGAGCGTGAAGATTACCTCAGATTAAGCCACGCGGCGCTGATCAGCATCGGGCAGTGCACAAGTTTTTTTCGCATTGCCGGTGAATCGCGAGACACTCTGCGGCTCTATCCTGAAGACAGTGCAGTGAGTCGAGATGCTTGCACCGTTTATGTTGTGCGTTTTCAGGCTTATCACTTTGTTCCCTTCATTTGTTATAGGCTTCTCTCTCACTCACTCACTCCTCAGTCTTTATTCGTCCTCGAGGTCGCCCTGCTCTGTTTCAGCATTCTTGTCCCTCACGGATTTCACTACTTTGAAAAAAGCCGCGTGCTGCTGTCGAGACTGTTTTAGAAAACCGTTGGTGCAGTGGAATTTGAAGCATTTTTGTAATATTTCGGAAGTAAGGCTTAAAATTCCATACTGACCATCTGTGACTTAACACTAATATGCCAGGAGTAAACGAAAGGGGCTTTTCCGGTGAGCAAGTGTGCTGCGACTGATTCCTGAACAAATCCTTGCCGGCTTGGTTTTCGCTAAAGATGAGAAATAGACGATA